AATGCCCTCCAGATTCTTCAAGTTCTTCTTTTCTGTGTTCCTTTCTACGACTTTCTGGATCAGGTAGCGAAGCGCGCCGTGCATAGTTTCAAAACCGAGACACCTCTTGTAGACGCCATGTAGGTCCAACGAAGGGCTATTGGTATGATCATAGGCTGATAAATTAACTAGGATTATGTTCATGCGCGATTTCAAGGTCATTGACTCAGCCGTTTCAGTAGAGAAACTGCGTCTGAGGCTCAAGGACACCGAACTAGAGCAGTACGGTGACCCACTGACCCCGGAATACGTTTATGATGTCATTAAGCGCCTTCCTCGCTTTGATAATATGAAGGTACGGCAACCCATGACCACTTTAACAACTCTGGCTCACAGATTTCAGCGAGGACAACAAGAAGACGCTGAAGAGTTTCTTGGCTTCTTGCTTGCTGGGCTTCACGATGAATGCGCACACGTGATCAAAAGCGGGAGGTTTGCGAGTGGTGCAGACAGCATCACATCTCCCAAGAGCGAGAGGTCAGGCTCGGTGGATAGCGGCTGGCTCGAGGTAGGGCCGAAGCAGAAGTCCTCGGTTACACAGTCTTCTGGGACCATCGAGATCGAAAGCCCAGTGACAAAGATCTTCGGAGGCAAGATCCGCTCAGAATACCGCAAGCCGGGTGACAAGCCTTCCGTAACCCTTGAGCCCTACCAACCGCTTCAACTCGACATTAGCTCACCAAACATTCACAACATCGCCGATGCCCTCAAAGGCCTCGCTCACCTAGAAACCCTCCAAAGCGACAACACCCCCCGCGGCGGTCGCGCTTCTACAAAACAAGTATTTATTGAAACACTCCCGCCCGTTCTCATCCTCCATCTCAAACGCTTCCATTATGATGCTAGCGGCGCACAAAAGATCTGGAAGAAAATCGGATACCCTCTTGAACTAGAAATTCCAAAGGAAGTTTTCCCGCCCCATAAGCGCAGCAGCTTCAATGCTCGCGGCGGCCTCCCCCGCTACCGACTCACAGCCGTCGTATACCATCACGGCAAAAACGCAAGCGGCGGCCACTATACCGTCGACCTTCGCCGCCAAGAAGGCAGCGAATGGATCCGCATGGACGACACCATCATCCGGCGTATTCGCGCCGAGGACGTCGCCGAGGGTGGCGCAGAAGAAGATCCAAAGGTTTTGGCGAAGGCACTGGAGCAGCACAAGAAGGACAATAAGAGTAACAGAAACTTTTACGAGCAGGTGGGTCTGGACGAGAGAGAGGAGAAGGAGGAGGGTGGTTGGAGTCAGGTTAATGGGGTGGAGAGTAAGAAGGATACGACTGCGAAGAAGTGGAGTGGAGTGGTCAATGGAACGGTGAGTCCGAGCTCGACAGGCAAGAGGACGCCACTACCCAAGGAGAGTGTGAGGGATAATAAGGTTGCGTATATCTTGTTTTATCAGAAGATTGAGGTTTGAGACGACAACAGCTCAGGTCAGTTGGTGTAGGGAAGACGTGGGATGGGCATGGGCCATCGCGTAGAGGTTTGAGCTAGTAGTACTTAGGGAGCACGGGGAGGTTGAGCATGTTACGAGCTCCTTGGGGTTCATGATGGCCAATAAAAGTTTTGATTCAGCATCATGAGTGGGGAAGAAGAAGGTTGCGCGCGAGGGAGAAGTGGGGTGATATGGATACCCGAGGACGGGGGTTTTGTGGCATCTAGGATCAAGTGCTTGTAGAAATGGATAATGAGGAGATGATAGTCCATACCCTTCGATAATTCATTACACAATCAAACAATCGGCATTTGTGGTTATAAATTTTTGTGACATGTAGAGAGATTAGCCTGGAGAGATTCCTGAAGGACATTATACCGCACATAGAAGGCGATGAGGATTGTTCTCTTTTTCTACTGCTTTTCAAATTTTTTTTTTTTTGGTTCCGTGATGAGAGCTTTCTGGATTCCTCTGTTGCGTCGGGGCAATCAGCATACATCCTCAACTTCAATATCTTCACCGCTCCGAGGACCCAAATCTCCGCGTAACGTCCTGTTAAACAACTCCTTCAACATCTCGAAACAGATTCCGGCGATCGCAGGATCGTAGCGGCCTTTGCTTAGCTCGTCGCGGATGAAAGCGTCTATATCATATTAGCCATGCTAGCTCTGAAACTATGGGCTTAAATGGGCGAAAGGGGAGGAGGGGGAAGGGAGGTAGGGAACTTACGCTGAGCCCAGGCTACTTCGTAAAACGAAAACGTGACACCAGCTTCGTGAAGTGTTTTGCGGATTAAGTCACGGCCGGCGGGTGGGACATGATTATCCATTTTACCGAATATCTATTCGTCTCGAATGTTAGTTCGCTCTCCAATCTTCGCTGTCCCCAGGTCTCTTAGAAGGGGGCGGGGAGGTCACAGTAAGGGTATTGGAGGCGGAGACATGAAAAGGAAGGGGAAGAGGAGACGTACCATTACAAGTTCCCCCTTGATATCGCCCGCCCTGGCAAGAGAGTCATCGTTTTTACCCTCGCCGAGAGTGCGAGAGTGGATGTCCGTTGCGAAGTAGCATACAGCAGCCGAAACGCGTTTATCGAGGGCACATCTATACGCCAGATGTCCACCCAAACACATCCCCGTTGCACCAATCCGTCCAGTACATGTCTCAAGACTTAACAACGTATCGACAGCCAACGTAGCATCTTCATCATACGCAGAAACTTTCTTAGTAATCTTCCACTCGTTGCCCTTGTCGGTGCCAGGACCGTCGTAGGCAAGTGGTTCGGGGCCAGTGAATTCGTGGTAGGAGGATGGGGCGGCGACGATGTAGCCTTGGGAACTAATTTGGCGGGCGAAGCGGGCAACGGGGCCGGTTACTGAGGGGGTATGTTAGATTTGAGGGAGGGATAGTGCGGAGGGGGGGAAGAGGAAAGGTGACCAGAAAGAGAGTGGGTGACTAGGAAGTGGGGACGCACTAAAATTTTTGGGGTGGTGTGATCGGGAGGAAAAATAGAGATGGATGATATTTGGACTCCGGGATTTGGCTCTGTGGTATAGAGGAGAAAGAAGAGAGACGTTCAATTGATTGAGTGATTTATTTTAGGAGAGGGTGTGTGGGAGAGAAAGGGGAGGCCGCAGGAGGATGGAATGAAGGAATACCTTGATATATCTCACTGAAGACTACAACTCCCGGAAACTTCGCTTTTGGGTAGTTTGGAATGGTTGGGTGGAAGAGGAAGATCCCTGGAATTCTTCAGTAAGTTAAGGTTTCAATTTTGGTTCGAAGAGGGTAATTACTCATATTCCCTCCCGCCTGTGTAGGCACATCTCTGTGAGACTCTTGAATCAACATTTTGAGTGGTGTAGTTTACTGATGGAAGGTTTGAAGAGTTGATGTGGGGTGGAGGGGTAGTTGCTATTATGCTGCGGTGTCCGTTCCGGATTATATCAGGATTGTGAATAGGGAGCAGTGAACCCGAATCGAGCGGCATGACGAGACAAATATTTTGCGTTGGAGTGGAAATAGCGGTGACGAACTTTCTCTTCAGTTACGCCCGTTAATAATGCCGAAAGGATTGAGATAAGTAACCGAACTGGCGCAAAATATCCCTAAATTACAGAATTTGTATCTACTACCCTACCAACTTCTGCAGAGCGTATATGCATATTAAGAGTGTCACTAGCACTTCAATTATACCCTATCCTAGGAGGATCTAGTTGAATACAGCATCCTTCTGTCTAGAGCCCTAGCTTTCACCTTGCAAAGATACCTTTAGTTATCATCACAGGCACCATCGAGCTAGAGTAAGGTGATGTCACTCGCACAACACATGGAAGAACAAGTCCCACCGGAGATGGAATGGAGCGGTTCTTTTCCCGTGTCATTGGAAGATCTTGGTCCTCTTCTATCGTATACTCTGTTCGCCTTGGCCATGAAATCGGACAACCGGATTGGGTAGACCGTAAAGCACAAAACTAGCTTCCTCATCACGACCATAATTCCTACACAGGGTAATATCACATATTTTCATCAATTTCTCCATTTCGGTTTCAACTTTGCCTTTTTTTACGTCTATCCTCTAAAAAGTGTCCCGGCAAATACTCGGAAAAGGCCAATGGTATTCCGACCAGTTCCCGCAGACTCCCTTCAGGATAGTCAAGAGAAGATCCAACACCGGTGTCAGTCCCCTCAAGCTCCGGGAGAAAAAGGGCATTTTACTCCCAGGATCTGACGACCGTAATTCCGCCGATTTGTGTTATGGGACCTGCCATATCCGCCTCGCGGGATAGAAGTCGAGCTCGCATAACAAGACGACCTGACTTAACTTCGCCAAATGAGTTTCTGCCAGGTATTTGGATTGAAGCGTCTAAGTATTTTGCGCCAGTCAAAATCTCAAAATCAGTCTCGTAAACGTGGCCTCAAATTGAATGGCTCCCTGAAAGGACGCCTACGACCAGCTTGGAGCAATGCGGGAAGTCAAAGTCTTTCTTGTGTTGTTAAATGGTGTCGATGGTTCATGTACACGGAATTTACGGCGCAATTGTCGGTTCGAAAGGATTCCTTCCAAATATCTCCTTCCCAAAGCCCGGCAAGATATCTACCCTTCGATTCCAAGGCCACTTAGGCAGGTAGAGCAGGCAAAGCAGGTGGTTGATCAGTAGGATAAGTAATAGTCCGGGTGGTAGATGGCTTGACCATTGAGAACCAGGACGTATTATCTCTTCTCCCCATCATCAAAACTTCGAGGGATAAGGTCTTGGACCACAAGTCTCTTTCCCATAATTCCTCGTCGTGTCTCAAACAACCCTTTCTCCACACGCTCCCAGCGGAGCACCAGAGTTCGAAGAAGAGGATCCGGCGGCTCAGATACCGCTCTTGGAGACACCAGGCACGGCTACCTAGGGGCTCATACCTCTGCTGAGCCCTTGTAGGAGGTTGAGTGAATATTCTTGCCAGTTTCTCTTCAGCTTCCTCCTTCGCAGCCGGGCGGGGCGGATATCGACAGGCATATAATTTTCTGCCTCCTGCATTTTGAGAAAGCCCTCTGAATCATCAGTCGCATTTGCAGCAGCAATTGTCACATACGTATGTGAGCACACTTCCACCATCTTACTCCCCTCGCTCTCCCAATCCTCCTTATCTCCCTACAGGATACAAAGACTATCAATCCATAAATACGGGATACCTAGACTCAATGTAACTCAAACCGCGCCACGTAAGGTTGCTGGTAGATCGTCGATACTGAAACCAAGTTTCAGGGTGGCCATCAGTAAGTAGGCAGTAAGTAAGTAGGGTTTTGGGAGGTTGCTACTGTAGTAGGGGAGGTTAGCTACTTACTTACTGGCCAAATCGCTTCCTACTTACTGAGGTTACTGCAGTAGTACTATACAAAGTCTTGGCAAAATCTTCGGTGTTGAAATCGATCGTCAATTTAGGCTTCCTCTATCTGTAACTGCTGCCACTGCTGCTCCTGCTCCTGCTCCTGCTCCTGCTCCTGCTGCTGCTGTCGAATCTCCCTAGTTGTCAACCTCTTTGCCAGCGTCACTAGATGACTATCCACTACGCCGTTAAGCAACCAGTTCTTTTGTAGCTGTACAGCCTCAATTGTACTAGCACCTAGGCTATTTCGCTCTTCGGTAATCGTTCGTTTAGCTTGACTAAATACTCTCTCACATTCGCAGCTTGTGGAAGGAATTGATAAGTAGTCAAGGGCCATCTTGTAGAGCAGAGGGAATCGTTGCTTGCCAATTCGTTTCTACCATTCCAACGGCTGCGTAATTAGCTCGGGGTGGGCATCTGTATCACTCTTACGATTATCAGGCTCAAGGTGCTGCTCTAGCTTAGTAAGTAGTCGCTGCTTCTTCGCCTGCCTTTTTGAAGCCCTGCCAGCACCGTACATATAGCTGTCGTCTACCTGGAGGATCTCATCCTCCATCTCATTGTAGCCTCTATCACCTGGCCTCTTCCGTCAGCGTGGGCGTAAATCTGGCTCAATTAGGTCGTTGTTAAGCTGCTCAGCCTATAGAGCCTTATTAAAGGCAGATTTAATATAGGCGTTCGCTTGTTTAACATAATTAGGGTATTTCCGCCATTTATCTTGGAACTAGTTCTCGCGTAGTTTGGGATGGAGGGTTGTAGCAACAATATAAAGAGATTAATTACTATTAAAGATTAGCCTCTGCTAGTAGCTTGTAAGCTTCTTAAGGCCTAAAGCAGCGCCTGATTTGACATAGCTATCGTTACGCTAGCTGCTCATCGCGTTAATAAGCTTACGGAGATGCTTATTAAGTAGTTATAGCATAGTGTTGGTAGGCAAAGTTGGTGAAATCAGTTGATTGTTGTTTTTTTATGCTAACTAACTACTGGCGATTTATATAAGGCTGTCTGCTTATATAATGCCTGCCAACTGCCTCAGTGAATGGTTGACGGCGGCAGCCAGGTTGGCCAAAGCTTAAGCTCTGAGTATTCACTCAGGCAGGCCGACACCCCCCCCTTAAGCTGGTGATAGCCGTTGAACTGGGCATAAAGTAGTGCAGATGAATCCTCCAGATGTACGGGAAGACTTGTCGCTAGTGGGTATACAGAAACTCACTTTTAGTATGGGAAAATGGCCAATGCCGGATACTCAGAGGCGCCAGCCGTTTAGAGAGCTTAAGGTAGCTCATCACTCAGCTTTGCCATTGCCAGTACGCGGGTCGTACAGACCCAGGAGCTTGATGAATCGGCGTTAGTTGACAACGTTAAGAGGCTTGGTGAGTCCGTCGGCCACCATGTCGGTGGTTCGAGCGTGCTTAAGCTGTATCCGATTGCTGCGGACCTCATTACGTATGAAATGATAGTAGATATTAATATGCTTAGTGCGGGCATGATAGCCGTCTAATCGAGCCAGATTGATCGAAGGCTGATTATCACCGTAGAGTTTGAATAGCAGGAGATCCTTGCCTATGTATCCGAGTTTAGAGAGCAGGTGTTAGAGCCAGGTGGCCTCCTTTGCTGCGTGTGTAAGGGCAACGTACTCTGACTCTATTATAAATATTATAACGAGCTGCTGCTTGCTTGACTTGTGAGAGATAACTCCACCACAAAACTTGAACACATAGCTAGAGGTTGACTTTCTATCCTTACAGTCAGCAAAGGAAGCGTTAGAGTGCCCTATCAGCTCAAAGCCTGGATACGGGGCGTAGGACTGAGTAAAGATGTCAACGTTAAGGCGGGTGCCAACTAGGGCGGAGAACCTCAGCATAAGCTGTTTATGTGAGTAGAGATAGTCCAGTACGTTAATCACCGTGTCTTGGTGCTTATAAGTTGGGTTGCTCACGAAGCATCTGAGAAATCCCACATGGAAGGTGATGTCAGGTCGGACGAGGCAGGCTGGGTATAACAGCTTGCCAATAAGTGTCTAATAGTTCTTGACTAGCTCAAGAGGTGCTGGATCGTCCTTTAGGCGGATTTTGAGATTGAGGACGTTCTCACTAAAGGGCTTGTGACGACAGTGAGCAGAGATACGATTGTAGTCACGGGCTACCTTCTTAATGTACGCTTCCATGGACATGTCGAGGTTGCAGTTAACTCTATTACGAGAGATTTTAATGCCTAGATAATAGTTAATAGGGCTCAGGTCACGGCAGCTGTACTTATTAACAATAACTTACTTAAGCTCCTGTATTATGTCTTAAGTCTTAGTAATTAGGATGAGATCGTCCACGTAAATAACAACGATTAAATGTGAATCTAGGTGTATGAAAACGCAAGGATCTGATTACAGAGGTTGGAAGCCTTAAGAAATGAGGTATCAGGCTATCTCTTCATACCAGAGTTGAGGTAAACGTCGTAATCCGTATATGGTCTTCTTAAGTCAGGTGATGTGACCATCAGGTAGCTTAATATACACCTATTCGTTAGCATCGAGTTTGCTGTATAATAAGGCAGTGATAATATCAATCTAATTACACTCTAGATTAAGCGCTGCTACTAAGGTAAGGAGCAGTTTAATAGTAGTGGAATAAGCTACAGCAGAATAAGTTTCCCAGCCAGTGTTGCCCTATTAGTTGCTATAGATAATAAGTCAAGCTTTATAGCAGATGAAGTCACCAGCAGCGCCGAACTTATAGGTATACACCCACTTTATTGGCAGCGGCCGGCTATGAACATCTTAATGCTTAAGGATAACCTCTTAGGTGTTATTCTCATTATGTGACTTATACTTATTTATTTCAGTAATAACTTATCTATCCTTATAAAGGTGCTCCATAGCCTCCTTGTGAGTCTTTAGCTCTAGAGGCAGCTGGTGAGCTTATTTTAGTTTAAGAATAGCTTACGTAAAGGTAAAGCTAATAGCCCTGAGATTACTACCAAGCATTACGGCAGTAGCTGCCTTCTTAGTAAGGCAATAGCTTTAAGAGAAACAGTTAACTGTTATAGGGTTCTTATAGCAATAAGAGTAGATATTCTGATATTAAGAAGCATCATCATTATAAAACCAGGCACCTTAATTAAGGTCTTTAAAATCGTCTTGCGTGACTTTATGGTCTATAGTAGTACCTAAGTTAGGTAATTAAATAACCTCCAGGTCTTCTTATTTATTATCTTAATCTATTTATTATCTTTTTATACTTTCTTATTAATGTCCTTGCTTGGGAGGAGGTACTTAGTAGGTTAGAGATAAATAGATATTCTCAAAATTAACTATCTACTTATTATTAAGTGTAGAAAGCTTATTCTATTAAATACTACTAGTTCTTATAATAGTCTTAGTAATATTATCCTATATAAGATAGATATAGGAACTTTTAACTTCTATTAGATAACTTTTATAAGAGCGTGGCTTAAACTTATAGGACTTTATATATTATTACTTAAGAATATAAATCTATTCTACTATACTAAATAGGCGGAGATAGCTGAAGTTAGGGATAATATTAGTTTTACTTATATACTCCAGCAGCTTCTAGTGCGGAGTCTTGTAATTAAATAAAGTCTTTATAAAAAATAAATTAATAAAAAGAACTATATACTTTACTATAAGTAGCTAGAGCTTCTTAAACTTAAGTACTAAGGCTATTAATATAATATAAATATAGTTTTCTCTAATAGCATTACTATACTTAGTAACTTTATTTTAATAAGCTATATATACTATAGATAATAGCAAGAGACTATTATTAACTTTAAAGAAGTTTTTTATAATAGTACTAGTTAGTTTTTTAGTGTTATTAAAATAGTAGGCCTTTAGCATCTTATTATACTAAGTCTTTACTATAATATAAAAGTTTTTAATATTAATAGTAGTATGGTTTTTACTCTCTGTAAACTAAATCTACTAGTAATAAAAAGCGTTATTAGTAAAGAGAATTTAGTAGATCTCACTTTACCACTTAAGTATATTAATAAAACTAATAAGATTAATATAAACTATATTAAATAGATTAAGCACTTACTGCTGTATTTTCTAGAATATTTTTTTTTTAACTTAGTAAGATAACAAATATCGCAGTTAAATTTTATAATATTAATAAGCTTAATACTATTTACTAAATTTATTAATTTAATCAGATCATTAACGTTACAGTAGCTATATATATTATAAAATTTTTAAAAAGTAACTTTATACTTTATATTTAAAGACTACTATTAAGAGCTTACTATAGTAATTACTTTTATAACTTACTTACTAGTAAAGGCTTTAAGAAAGGTAAGAATACTGCTAATTTAAGATAAGTATACTATTTTATATTAATCTAACTAACAATAGAGCTTTTTATTCTAGCTATAATAATAAAAACCGTTCTTACAAATCTTACTATAAGATATAACGTTAATAAAGAAGCTGGGATAGTAAATTACGTTATTAAAAGCTATTAACTATATAGAGTTATTAGATTAAATAATAGAGAGCTAGATAGTTTCTACTCTCTTAATATATATTAATCTATCTCTAGTTTAAATACTCTAGCTATTTTTGCTTAAAGTGAAGGTAATAAAGGCACTCTTAATATTAAAAATATATTTATCTAACCTAGTATTAAAGATAATTCTATTTAAGAGGCTTTTATTTTGCGCTTAACGGAGAAGCTTATTTAATACTATAATAAGAATAATAGCTATTATATTATCTAAGAAATCATCAGGGTTACCGTTATTATAGATAAAAAGTTTAATAATAGAGATACTAGTAGTAATAGTAGCTATATTAATAATGCTATTAATATTAGTATAGGAGAATATTATAAAGACTACTTTATTATTATTACCTATAATCTTTAAAGCGTTCTTAATTCTCTAGGATTTTAGTATCTTATAAAAGTATTAATAATAGTAATTAGAGCTAATACTTACGTAATTATGCTAATACTTAAAATAATAAAACTTTTTTCTCTTAATAGAGTTCTCCTTCTACTTT